TGAGCAAACTTAAAAATATACATACCTGGCGAATAAATTTATACAACGGTTTGCCCATTTTGGGCAATTTTACAAGCTCTCCGAGCTGATGCTGATCGAGATCGTACAAACGCTCGAACGGTAGATTTTTCTTATCAATGCTTCTCACAACCTAAAAAATGCAAAACACAGACATTGTTCGGTGAATAATTAACAAAAGACAAATAGCGATGGGATTGTAATTCTGAAAAATATAGAATGGAACATCCACAAAGTGAAACTTTTTTAGCAAAAACATACCTCTGAGGGTATTTTTTTGAATTGATGAAGCGGGTTGAGCGACTGCCACTGACGTGCATTTACCATCTTGCAAACGCCCAATACTTTCTAAAAATAGCATATCCTCTGAAGCAACTGCTGTAATTCAGATAAAAACCGACAACGCTTCATCATACTTTGCAACAAAAAAACCAAAAATTAAAAAAATTAGATTAAAAAATCCTGGTGCTTACTGATATTCGGTTTTACTATTAAAGGATAAAGAGAAAATAATGAAGTAGAAAAGATGAAGGGGGAGAAAAAACGAAGAAAACCGAAGTAAGAAGGGGAAAGAGGACTACGGAAATATTTGTTAATAGGTAAGAAATGTTTCGGTCCATTAAGTTGTATACATTTCTTACCGTTACCACAACTGGACCCCGCTAGGGTCATCATATTTTAGCCATACAAATGTATCTCTCGATCTGGCACCCTTAGAAATTTCTGCACAAATACCACAGAAATACTGAGATCGCCAGGAGCAACAGTACCGATATTTCTTGTTAGTAATATCGAGCACAGCTATGCCAAGCCCTCTCTAGGCAGTACATGATACGAAGAAGTTATAGAACATATCCTATACAAAAACACTCGCAACAGATATCCTCTTGAGCCGACAGAGAGCCAAAATAGATCGAGTAAAAATTTTTATGGGATTTGTGTTTACGTGTGTGGATCGCTTTTTGGCTCGGTGCCAATTAGATAAATGATAGGTTTTATGCCTTACTACAACGCAGATAATAGCAATAATACACAAAGCGTGATGGTCGGGCTCTGAAAAACGGGATGGCCTGCACAGTAGTGGATTTAGCAAAGGGGGTTCCGAGATCGAATGGTTCTGGCTTCGAGACGAAGGTATTCGAGTCCCAGTAGTGTTCGAAGACTGCGACGGTAGGAGTCAAAACTGGCGAGCCGGGGATGATGTCGTTGGAGGAGACTGATATCGAAGAAGAAGCTGAAGAAACCCGAGCCACGAAGAATGGTAGGGAGGTTTATGAAGGGAGTAATAACCGCCCCAACAGAGGATGTGGTAGTTTTTTGGAGGGGTTGAAAATGTACCAAAATGAAAAAAATGGTAATTAGGGTAAAGGGAAATGTGAAAAGGGAAAATGGAAATAAGGGTTTTTAAGGGGTTAAAAAAAGACTGAAAAGGAAAAATAACAAAAATGCAACGTCTGCGAATGCAAGTGCATTCCAGAATACGACTAAAGCGGGATAAAGCGAGATAAAGGAAACGAATATATAATAAGGTTTTTCATAGGTGTAAAAAAAAGGACGAAAACTGGGAAAACTGTAAACACACAAGAATGCAATTGGCATTCCTGCACCATGGGCTAAAATAGAGAGAAAAAAAAACATTTTATAACTTTATAATTAGAATTGCATACTTTACAATTGCATATAGCATAAAAGGAAGCCAAACAGGTGCAGCCGCACTGCTAATAACATTTACGAAGTAATCGAGCGAAGAGCTGTCGTGGCAGGAAAATTTGGACAAATCTATAAGAATATTAAAAATACATGAGAAAAAAAACCTGAGCGAGATGTGCCCAGCCTCTCCATAGAACAATTTCGAACAAGGCGCGGAACAAACGTCCAGCCGATTGGCTAATAAACACCATATCACTTTGAAGTGCAAAGCCATCCAACTTCAACTGCGATATGTAGGCCTGTAATTTCGCAATTTAGGCTTAAAAATTCAGGGGCGAATGTAACTGTCATGTGCATATAATAGAAAGTTATAATAAGAAAGAATGAAATAAAAAGAAAAACGGGAAAAGAAAGTAAGAAATGAAAATCAGAAAATTTGTGAGATTACTATAATGGAAGTGTTTCGGTTCATTAAGTCGCATACATTTCTTACCATTACCACAACTGGATCTCGTAAGTACAACAACTGTGGTAATTGAAAAAATTAGTGAAAGTTAGGGTTAAATTTATTGTGTAATACATGTTAGTGGTGAACAGAGTATTATGAAAGACGATTAGTAATAGATGAGTGGTAAGCCACGATAAATAACAGATAAAATGCCCCATTTTACAAATAGTTCGAAAACGACTTAAGGAACCGAAAAAAACTAATTTTATCACGATGAAATTTTCTCACGATAATTGTGGCAACGAGAAAAGCATTATACCTGGAGAAGTACATTAACTTTTGCGCTGCTTTCTTCCAGGCTTTCCTTGATCGGTACGGGAACATGTTCAGCAAGTTTTTGCAATTCCAGTTTTTCCTCCTCACGGACCATGATTTGTTTGAATTCGGAGGATAGTGAGAAGATGCGAAAGAGATCAATTTCTGTTGCTGTCGCTTTCAGTAGTTGATTATAGGTTTGCATTGTATCATAAGTACAATAGAAATGTGACGCAATTCGACCGAGTTCTGTTGCCTGCAATATTTATAGTTATTTCTACAAACTGAGCATCTTTTGAAGTCCAAAATCAACATCAGGAGTTAGGCACCGGCGCTGACAGA